TGTATCCGTGTCTGATGAACCTGTATCTGTGCCACTGTTGTCCATGCTTGTCAGGACTGCAGCTTCTGGCTCCACTGCCTTTAGTTCCAAGATTTCATCATCTGTCAAGGCTAGGGAAAGGGTAATAAGACATAATAGGATGCAGTTTTCAGTTTTAATACATTTTATGTTTCTATCTTTTCCTTTATCTAAAGACACTAAATTATTACCAATTAATTAAGAAATAAAACATTCAATGTGCAACCACAAACCAGAACTTAGATTACACTTGTCATTCGTTACATGCCTCTTAGTGTGACACTGCTCCGCTGCTGGGAGCTGTCTGCCTAGCTCAGGGGTCGGCAACCTGTTCCCATCAAAGAGCCATTATTACCCGTTTCCCACAGTAAAGAAGACACTGGGAGCCACAGCAGCCGCGGCGTTGTGGGCGGGGCCTACCCTCAGACATCTGAAAGCTGCTTTAACCGATCACAACAGGTGACAGCAGCCAGTACCGTTCGCTCCTGTACGTCAAAGTTATCTTTCATAAGACCATAATCAATAAAACGATTTATATAAAGTGGATCCAGAAGTTGTAGCCCGTCTCTGCCTACAATATTTTGATCATTTTCACCCTGTTGGTGGTTTTACTGAGCAGGTGCCACTTTTGTCATACGTTTCTTTTTAAAACATGTTTAGACTGTTCAGAATACAAATCCAGGCTCTGTCACGTTTGATTGTTGTAATTAAACTTTGTAGGTGGGGAAGGGGATCCGATCATTTTGTTTTTCCCTCATTTACAGTGACGGAGATAACGGCACAGTGCGCCTGGCTCTGGTGTTAATCAAGTTTAATTTTATCTATTTTCACAAGAAAATAAACAAGCGCGTGTACACACACAGGTGCTCACATGGTGCTCTCAAAAGTATGGGCTTGGGCACGTTAAACACAGGTCTTAAGACTATGGTGGGCACTTGATGCACTGTGATTTATTATCATGTGATTCTTCAGTTAAACAATGTTGATTATATATTTCTTCATCAAGTTGATGCAGTGATGGCTTGATCTTGTTGTATTGTTGTTGTGTCCCTTTTTTTGTTCTTTTGCTTTTTTTATGTCTTTTTCTGCAGGTCTAGAAGCAGACTCTCGTTCATTATTGTTTATTTTTGTGGACCCCCCCCCCCCCCCCCCTTCCCCACCTTTTGTCTTTTCCTTTCTCTTTCACCTCTGTCTCAGTGTCTGGTCGGAATCACAAAGCATTCAAAAACAATAACAATAAAGTTTTAAGTATCAGGCGTGACATTAAAAGCAGACGCTTTGATGCTCCACCTGAGAGTAAATCTGTAAGGCTTGTTACCAGCATTCAGACATCAATTCTGTTTGCTTCACAGCCAGGCAGGACACGGTAAAAAAAAAAAAAAAAAAAAAAAAAGTACTTCTGACTTTGCTTTAAAAGATAAAAGCATTTTCAAACTGCTCATATCAGACTTACTCCTGGAACAGTTTCAAAATGCTCTAAAAAGAATAATTTCTGTTTTCACAGGGTAATTCCACCTTAGAATTATTGTGAAAAATGTTTTATTCTTTCTGTTACTCACATGTATGTTTTGATGTGCATTGGTGTTAGTTTGAATGACATCTCCAAGGCCCTTTAATTTATAAGTCTTGTATTGTTTTTTTACTTTGTCAAGTGTTCACTACAACCCATAAAGAAAAAGGCAATAGTTAACTTTAAAATTAGTACAGAGGTGGAGAATAAACTCAGCCATTGTGTCTTTTGTCTCATGCAGTCAGAGATTATTGAATGTTTGGGTGGATGTATTTTCCTCTGTGGTGGGTTACGATGTGCACCCACCACCCCAAACTCCGTGGGGCTTGGTGCTGCTGCTAATGTAAGCCCCCGTCCAGATGGGCATTTGTGGTCAGCGGGGGACCTGGCCACACGAGAGAGTACTTAGCCTTCACTTCCCTCCCCTCCTCATCCCCACTCCATCACACCGCCACACATCCAGGGCTTTGGCATACAGTTGTTTCACTGAGTTGGGTGTGAGACATTCCTGCTGTGTCCCCTTCCAACCACCTGTACCTCAATTTTATTCCACAATCTATACAACATCACTTGTGCTGGGCATGCTGAATGGCGTCCAAGGGATGGTCTGTGTATTCAACCTCTCCTAAGTTGCCGGTGCCCGTGTCTCAATTTGAAATACATGTAGATGATAATGTTTCCCGGCAGGGGCTGTGCTGACATCAATATTTATTATCTACTGTTAGTTATACTTATCTAGGTTATGGCTGTGATACTTGCTGTTGTGTACTGTGTTATATCATAGCTTGTTTTATTTTCTGTTTTTTTCTTCCAGTAGGTAATCCAATGGAATTTACTGTCTTGTGTCACAGTCCCTCTTCCCTTCTGTTTTTCCCCTCTTTTGAACGTCTCTTGTCTAAGTCTTAATATTTCCTATCAACCAATTATGTGTATTTATGTGATAACTGCAAATTTAAATTTTTCTATAAAATGATTGAATAAATAAAGATATTTTACAATTTCCATCAAGTGGAGCAATATTGCAAAGCCATAATGGTCCGCTTTAAAAAAAAATCTGTTGGAGAGCCTATACCGCTCACTACTGGTCGTTACACTTAAACAGGCGAGCTTTGAGTGTCTGACTCTGTCGACATTTCAAAAACTAGAGGTCAAAAAATCTCATTTTGAACACAAAAGTCTTGTGCAGAAAAAATGACGAGGAAGGAGATGGGGTGAGTTCCTTTTTTTAAGTATAAATTTTAAATATTAAGTTTTAAAAGTTGCTAACAAAGTAGTTCATCTCCAATTACATGTAATTGAGTAATCAAGTCTTGTAGCCTAGCCTAAGGCATTAGCTAGGTTATTTCTGATTGTAAAAATGTCTTTTTCCTATGTGTAAAGCTGGGCGGACACTGTGCGACTTTTTCACTCATAGCACTCAGCTTCAGGTCAAACTGTACGACTTCCTTGCAAGGCAGATCTCACGAGCCATGTGCTCACACTTTACGGCCCAGTTCTCGGAGGCGAAGGTGACCTGACTGCTCACACGGTACGTCTGGTAGCAACACGTCAGACCTAAAAATATGCTAAAATAGCTGTTTTTACACAACACGTCAGACTTTTTTGTCTTGTCTTACCTGTTGTCCTTCGGGAGTGCTGCAGGAGGACACACAGGGATTTATGGGGGTTGGATGAGGAAAACAAAATTAAAGTAAATCTGTGTTTTGTGATCAGTTTAATTTCACATGAACACAACAAACACGCTTTCTTGACAATCTTTGTGAGTAAAAAAATTTGTAGAACTAAAAACGAACGTGTTACTAGGGAAATAGCGGGCGAGCGGTGTTGATGCATGATTGCGCATGCGCTGTGAGCGTATACTGTTGATCTAAAGTGGAGTTACCCTGTGGAAACAGCAACTTTCGATTTTAGAGCATTTTGAAATCGTTAAAAGAGTCGGTCAAATATGGGCAATTTCAAATTGCTGTGGTTTGATAGTGTAGATACAAAATGCAACTGCTCTTTGGAAATATTACTTTTGCTTTTAAGAGCATTCTGAAGTCATTGAAAGAGTAGTTAAAAAAAACAAAATTCACAGGGCTTTTACTTTGAAATCCAAAATAAGATTGCCTTGATATTGACAGGGCGCTAATAGTGAACAAGCCTAAATTATTTGCTATTATGTTCTTAAAATATCTGATAATTCACTCCAAGTTGAGTTTTATTTTGAAATCCGGTTTCCACATCCATTCCCGTAATAACTTGAATAGACGGGGAACAGAAAACAAACTGGAGGCTGGCTTGACTGCAAGTCTCCAACTGGAGGCTGGCTTGACACCAGTGACTGTCTGCACTTCATACAGCTGAGCCGAAGGTGTAATCGGATCTCGTTTAGGTTTTGCGGGTCAATGCTGAACGATCGCTGTGACACCACTTGTCTTTGGAGATTAATGATGCGCCGTTTATTCTGACGAACATAAACACAAATGAACGCCATTAGCAGCTGCCCACTCCAATTACACAACATCTTTTGTGTAATTATTGCAACAAGACAGTTACCGCGGTTCACACACAAATCTACACACCACACCGACGTTTCCACTTTCACACACATTTAATTCTCAGAACTTATCAGCAGCGTAGTTCATCCTGCTGCTGCCGCCAGTCGGTTGGTTCTCCCCTGGCCGGCTCCTCGCTCCCGCGGTCGCACAAAAGCACATAAGTCATTACTTGAGTTTTAATGTTTAAAATCTGTTAGATTGTTACTGACTGCAGCTTCATTTAAGTTTCACTTCCTGTTCTGACTGAATGCTGCTGCAGGTAGGAAAACAGCTGGACGTTTCTGGATATGTTGGAGACATTTAGCCTCTCATCCCAGAGGCTTCTTCCAGACTTTGGTTGTGGTCAGAAACAAACACACTGGTTGTGCTGCAAGTCGTCTTCTTTTTTCTCCAAAACATGTTTTTGTCTAAATGAAGGTGATGTTATTGTTCATAGAATTAAAATTCATGTTGAAGTTAAGATTATTTCATCAAGTAGGACCTATGGTTAGCTAGCTCATGGAAAACATGTCATGTCTTGAAATAATCGGAAATGGATAGGAACCGGAATCGAAACGAGGAATTGGAATCAGAATTGTTCAAAATCAAACGATGCCCAACCCTAATGATCTCTCCCTTTGCTGTGATCACTCCGTGTGTGTCTCAAACTGGTTGTCATACCTTTCAACAGCTTATTGTGTATTCTTAATTTACTGTTTGAAATTTTGTCTTCTGTTCTTTTTAACAGTTTTGAAAGCCAATCTAGGGACAAATGCTGCAAATGAGCCATTGATAAAAACACTGCAACAAACACGGAGCTGTGGTTCTACAGTTTATGTTCTTGTATCTGACCCTGTTAAATAAACATAATGAACGAATGAAAGATTGGAGCCATGAACGAGTGGTCCAGATAATCCCAAACTAAAAGGATTATTAAACATACTTCCCTAATATAATTTATCACCTTTCATTTATTTTGAGCCACAGATCATACAAAATAGACAATATTTAAAAGTCATCTAAATTCATGGGCTAGATTTTATGCACACGTGGGAAAATACGCCCAAATATTACAAGAAACCAGAAAGTCACCATTTAACTTCATGCAATGATAAAAATTTTAGAACACGAGTCACTTTGGTAGTCCAGCTGTAAGAAGATACTACCGACTTAGAGTCCCAGGTCTTGATCTAAAAAGGAAAAGAGTGAAATTAAGGTCAAATTCATGTAATAAGACGTTTTATAAATGTTACTGAAAATATTTTTAAAGGTGTTGAACACTTGTTTATTCTATACATTTGCGGTGGTCTCTGGTAGGAATGAATGCCTTGCACGTCATACTCGAGAGATTGGGGGGCAGAAGTGGATCAGCATGGACAAATCTGCTGCAGCAGACAGCGGGCTTTGAAGTCTTACTTACTGATATTTGGACATCTTGCCTCGGATTGGATGACAGCAAGGCGACTCCACCACTGACTCCATTTGCTCTGTGACACGGATGTTTGTTTTATCTCCACAAATACCACAAGCCTGAAGGAGCTTCTGCTGTGTGGTGGAGTTGTTAATGCTAACAGTTAGCTTTTGCTAGCCAAAACGTTCAATGCTAGACGCTAAAACAACAGCCTTCCCCGTCACGAGCCAAGATGGGCGAGTCCAAGCGAGTGCTGGATGTAGATCTGTCAGGCTTTTCAAATCCTACAGTTTCACTGTCTATTTTCAGTCAGAAGCTAATGCAGGTGCAGGAGACTATTTTCATGTTCAGCCTGCATAAAAACCTCAGAGTGACTGATTATAATCAGAAATAATCATTAAAAAATAGGTTTTTAGTGTTCCACACCTTTAAAGAGCAAGTCAACCCCTACCAGAGACTAACTCCACTCCCACTTCATGTTTCAAAAATGCAACAAATGCTGTTGCCTGGCAGACCGAGAAGGCGGAGCTGCTAACAAATACACACACACAGGCTCACGACAGCATTGTGACATCATAATGTACCAGTTTACATCATAGCATACCTCTTAGCCAATAGCAGTGGCAGGTTTAAATTAAAATACAGTGCAGAGTTTTTACCTGACAACGGCACAACACTGCCAGTTTTAGGCAGAATATTTAAATTTTAACTAAGATGCACTGAAGTGCCAAATTATTGACGACACGTGTCTGCAGCACGATTAGACACTCGTTTATTTAGTTTATCAGCAAAAAAAATGTTTATTTGGGGGTGACTTGCTCTTTAAAAGTAAAAACAAAATGGAACCCATTACCCAGGATAGGGAGGAGGTGGGGCATCATGTGGTCCATTTCCTGAGATGGCCTGTTCATATGAGGGGAGACCAAGAGGATCTCCTTCCCCAGGAGGGTGTGGGGGGTCTGGATCTCTGGTGACATCGTCCAACCTCCGCATTATTAGAGAGGCGTTGCTCCTCCTGGGACGTGCCTGACTCTGACGAGAGCTGAGAGGGGAGTGGAAGAGTTAACATTAGAAAATGGGCGAGTACAACGTGGAAAAGTAAACGTCCCCATTGCTCCGGATGAAAATAAGCAGATATAATATGGTTCCTCAGTGCTGTGTTTACTGTAAATTAGCAAGTGGAAGAACTGACATAATAAGAAAACTTATTTTAAAGCATGCGAGTCAGATGCTGGGAAACATTTATAAACAGAACATGGGCAAAATTCAGGAAAAAGGGAAGTATGTTTATAAAGATGTCACAAGTAAAAATATATATTTATATATAACTTGCTATATTTTGGGCAAAAAATTGATTTATAGCTTAATCTGAAAAAGTTTCTAAAAGACTAGGAAAGTATGTTTTATAGGACCAAAAACAGAACGCCATCCATCCATTTTTGTCCACTTATCCGGGGTCGGGTCACGGGGGCAGCAGCCTAAGCAGCGAGGCCCAGACTTTCCTCTCCCCAGCCACTTGGGCCAGCTCCTCCAGGGGAATCCTAAGGCGTTCCCTGGATAACCGAGAGACATAGTCCCTCAAGCGTGTCCTGGGTCTTCCTTTAAGTCTTTTCTCGGTTGGACGTGCCCAGAAAATTACCTCACCAGGGAGGCATCCAGGAGGCACCCTAACCATGCTCAAGCCACCTCAACTTGATGTGGAGGAGCAGTGGATCTACTCCAAGCCCCTCCCAGATGACCGAGCTTCAAAGAGAGCCATTCCCTATTAATAGTCAAATCACTAATCCCAGATACAATAAACAAATATTTTGAATTATTTAAAAGCTTGAATGAAATAATCTTTGCTATTTCTGTAGGCTGTAAAAGTTATTTCACTTCCAGGTTTAAACTAAGATTATCCAAACATAGAAAATCCCACCTCCTCCTGTTTTGTCAAGGTTTGAGGTTAGAATGAAAAGCCACTTGATACCACACTTCATGTGCTTTTTTGCTGTTTTAAAACAAATTTTATGGACAACTTAAGAGTTTCAGAGCAGCAGATTCAGCTCTGCAGGAAGCTACTTTTCATTTCATTTGCAGACATTCTTTCCATCTTTTATTAAATGTGTGAAATTTTTCCAATAAAGTTTAGAAAAGAAACTAAATCTTTGAGAGATTCAAATGAATACCAATCACACATGAATAAGTTATCTCTTACTTACCCTGAACGGCTTAAGTTTCCTTTGAGTCTGCTGCTACAGTAATACCAGATCAAGATGCTAACTATACCAACAGCCACTAAAGATGAAATCAGTCCCACCAAGAGCGCCGTCACATCGATTCGAGACGGGTTGTTTGAGTGATCTGTTGACGAGCGAAATCCTGTATTTAAAATTAGACCAGCAGAAAAGCCATCTAAACATCCTCACACCTGTTATTAAATCTTGATGTTAAAAAAATGTGTAGCTCTATAATCTTGGGAAGGATTGACCAATGATGAAACAGATATGATACTGATCACATCAAAACACGGCTAGGTCATTGTTAAAGGTACAAAGCAAAAGAGAAATCTTAGCTACTTGTTAAAAGGTAGATAAATGAGCAAACTAAATTTAAACGAAAGCACAAATCAAAAGCCCAACCCCCTTTTTTCAGGCCCCACCCCTAATTCACACCCACATACTATAGAAGATGCAACAGACACTGTCAAACACCTCTTCTGCTATAATTCCAAACGTAACACACCCAAGTAAAGCTTTTTTCAACTTCTCCCGTCTGCGTTGGGACGGAGACACGCAACGCCATCATGCATCGGCACGAGAGCTCTCCATCTGGCTCATAGAGGGTGGTGGGAGACATGCCCCAATTTTTTAACTATCCGCAAGCTCATGATTGGTCAGGACATTCATGATAAATGGATGCAGTTTTTCTAAGATTGTACACTTCAAACATACTTTTTTTTGGTTGTCATTTGTATGTGAAGAACATTTCATGCAATATGGCAAAAAATCCTCCAGAAAAACATCATCGACCCCACCTTTAATTCATACATAGAATATCTCTACGTTAAAGTTGATTTTGAAAGCACCATTTAATTTCACTTCCAAATGCTGCTTGAATTATTTTAGTTCACAATAAACTCACGATATGGAGGTCTGTCTCACGTAGAGAAAGAGAGATCCTTGTGATAAAATACCAAAGAATGTCTGTGGTATTTTCTTACACTAGTAAAAATAAGTGGAGAGTCATGTGACCTGGCCTTTAAGTACCACCACAGCTGCTATTCCTGTGGTAACAGATCTTTGTAAACAACGTACTCTGTTATGTATCAGGGTTGTGCTTTATCAGATTAAATAACATGTATTTTTGTTTTCTAAATATTTGATCAATAATTATATTTAGCATTTCTCTTACCTTGTGTATATTTCTTCCAAAACTGATCCTGCAACAGAAAAAAACCCAACAATCCTCAGGAAGCTGAGCTGTGATGAGAAGCTGTGGTTAGAAATCATGACTTTACCGTCTGGGGGATGTTTTCAAAGACCTCTCTCGCTTCTTCATAGTTACAAACTTCTTCATAACACTCCCTCTCTAGATTCCCAGGAGTGAACATCTCGAAGTCAAAACGATTGAACAGCAGGTGGCGACCCAGGAACTCGTTTGCGTTCCCATCATCGACAAAAACTGACGCACAAACACGCATTTTTAATTAAACATGCCATTTTGAACTTGTGAGGAGAATGAGTGGGACAGAAAAATTCCCGCTCACCTTTTTGGTCTTGCGATCCTTCATTTTCGGAGAGTAACTTCCTCGTACAGGCCAGATGTCCGCCGCTCAGTAGTTGAAGGAGAACGAACAAACCAAACAACATGATAACGCACCTGTGCGTCAGCCGTGTAGAACACACGGTGCTCCAAAGGCCCTTCAATCCACCTGTCTGAACACCTTTACATCTAAACAGGAATTATATCATTCTACATTACCCACTGACGCATAATGGGCAGAGTTCAACAGCAGGAAGAGAAGAGTTAGGTAGTTATCAAAAGGGAGCGGCAGGTAGGCTACGTTTGTCCCAGACCACGTTGACCAGGGGAAACTGGAAATTTCCAGCTTTAGTTCCCGTTAATTAGCCTCGTCGCTGAAGGCAAAACACTCTGGTTTAAAACCGAAACCTGGTTACTAAACCAGCCCCAGAAACTTTAACGAAACTCGTGTTTACAGATCAGTCGATACAGCTCGATAGCTCCGCCTCACTACACCTGCAAGAAGACTCGACCAATCGAGCGCCTTAACCTCGATCCCTTCCCCAGAGTTGATTTAGGAAACAAAAATGTATGGCAGCTCTAATCACAACAGAGTCAATATTCTTCGTTCTTTTGGTATTAAACAATATAATTAGGCTACATATGACTTGTGACTCAGAAGCATAACACCTGAGTTTTTGCTTCCTTTGGAGAAATTATTCTCATTCACAAAATAATTTGAGCCCTAGTTACTTGAAATAATTCAGGGGCACCTAAACAGGACTGCCAACATTTGCGAAAATCTCGGAGTAAGAATCATTTTTTTAATTCTATTTTTTTAGAGGGGGCATGAACGGGGTAACAAAAGGGCATCACAAATGTGGCCTAGAGGGGGATATTTTTATTTTTAGAGCTTAGAGGAACACTACAGCTCCACATTTGAAAGTTTTACAAAAATGTTGGTAACAAATATTAAAGGGGTAGTTTAGATCTGTGCTATAAAATTTCTTACACGCTATAAATTGCTCTTTGAACAACCTTAGTTGGTACAACACAGCTGTCTGAGTATGCATCTACTAGCTACTTTAAGTGAAACCAGTTACAAAGTGTTTTGAAGGTTGAATATGGGACAATTTAATGAAAAGCTATAATTAAAAAAAACTCCATACGGAGTTTAGAGGTGTGCAGAATGAAGGTTCAGTATTTCTTTTTAAAGCTATATTTTAATTAAAAGCAATTAAACATTTATTTTGATAGGCACGACACTGGATTTATGTTGACACCTACCAGCCAATAGAGGGCACCATTGCGGGATGCTAAACAGTCAGTCCGCTCGGGACAGCAAGGCTGGCCCTGTGGATAATGGTGGACTTGGCAAGTCAAGCAGCTGCTTCTGAGCCCAGAAGATGTCATTATCCTTCTCAGAGGAGAAGCAGCCATAAAAGACCTAAAACCAGAGTTTAGGTGGACCCAAATAAAAAAAATTCACATGACAACGAACCTGGTATCTCCATGGCTGGGGAACCTTGTTCTATTGTTGCAACTACAACCTCTACACACTAGATGTCGCTTGGGTCGTCATGTTCAACCTTTACCTGTCTGAACCCTCCCACATTTCTAATGGAACTATTTTACTTTACTATTATTTTTTCCCAGTTTCTTCATAATCCAGATGTGGTGAGTCTGACCCTGTCCTGGAGGGTTCACCCGATATAGGACAGCGGGAGGATTAAAAAAAAACCTCAATTCTCTAAATTTCCACAGCAGATCCTTGTAGAACATTTCATAACTGGTGCGGTTGTTGTGACCAGCTGTTAGCTTGTCTGATCCAACAGAACTAATTTGTTTTGTTCAAAGGGCACCAAATACAATATTAGTCAATCATAAATAACCCACACAACCACACTTCAAGGGACTATCGCTTTTAATGGGACAGCTTCTTGGTGAAAGTGATCACTTCTTGGTTGCTTAAACCACTTATAAAACAAGAAGGGTTGAGTTGATTGGTTGGACTGTTGTTTTTGACAGTAAGGTCATCATTTAAACACAAAATTAATACACGTTATGATTGTTTATCATCTAGCCACTATAAGTTTACAAATGCATGGAATCAGTGTCAAATCTAGCATGAGACATTTTGACAGCACATAGTATGTCGCTCCAAGACTTTTAATGTTACACATAACTTGTTTAACAGACACAGACTTTAACACCCTAAAGCTTCCACTGATCTTGAAATTTGAGCTGCACTTGGACTTAAAGAGCCATCTTACTTTGTGACCCTTTAAAATGATAATTGCATTAGCTCTCACCTGAACATCTTAACGGCTTTATGTCCTTTTCATGTTTATGACGTTGTAACACAACGCTATCGTTTGGGGATCTCTGCATCAAGTCTCATAAAAGCACTTTAGCGTCGTTTACTTCTCGGTGGCTCTGGAGCTATGTAGGGAAAAGTGCTCCAGAGTTACACTACAGGTTATATGCACCTAAACGTTAGAGAGGAAACTGTAAAACATGCAAGGATACAGAGCAAATGGAACAAATAATATTTTCTGTTTGGATTGGATTGCCAATCATGTTAACATGCAGAGCTCACATGGCTGGATTTGAACCTGAAACTTTCTGGAAGAAGGTTTATACAAATATGCTGAGATGAAAATCTACATTTAGGTGGTCAAATATTTTGTAACTGCAACACGTACCGTAATACTCATATCAGAGCGATTGGTCTTTGGTGGAAAATTCAGTCTGACTATGAAAAGTGTTGAATTAGGTTTTTTTAGCAGCAAGATTTATTTAATTACATTTTAAGGACAAAAATTGCCAAATGAATTTGGACTCATGTAAAAACTTGCATATTTTATCATTATAACCATAATTTCTGCACCAAAACAAGAAGATCTGCTGTTGATCTGATCACATCAGATTTGTTGGATCAGGATTGATGTTGTTTTAAAATGAATGAAAATATTTATCTTTACATCTTGATTTTGTTAATGAGCACATACATATTTACATTATGAGTATTTTTTTAATATGATAGTACAAAAAATAGCAATACACATAAATAAATGTGTTCTATTCTTTCACAAAGTAGATACTGCAATCCTCAAACTATAAATATTCTATTTAGCATGAAATTGAATAAAAATATGTCATGTATTTTTTTAGACCATAAAAATAAGATTAAAAAAACAATAATATAACAATTTTCATGGTTTGGACTTATGCTGGTTTAGGAAAATATTAATTTTTAATATATGAAAATTATATAGCTTGATTTTCTCTTTAGCTTTTACTAGATAACCACAACAAAACAGTGTTTGTGTCTGAGTCATCTGCCATCACCTCTAAACTGTGGCTTAAAAAACAAGTTGGACATTTTAAGGAGAAGCAGAGAATGTTTTTTTCAGCAGAATAGACTGAAAGTGGAACTTTAGCTCTGGTCTGATTGTTCTTCTATCTGCTCGGTGCGCCACCTTGCAGGTGGCTGTGATGAGGCTGTGCTCCTGAGAATGTGTTGTGTGATTCACATCTCCTGATAAGAGTTAGAGATGCTGCTCTCTGTGCACAGATGTGAGCAGTGAGGCTCAGCAGACCTATTAAAAAAAGAACAGAGTGAAGCTATGATTGCTACACCTCTATGTTAGTCTGAGTGGAGCCCATTGATGTTAGAGCTGAAAGGATCAAATCAGAATTAAAAATGTCCAGAAATACGAGTCCAATGCACACGCAAATAAATTGGTGTAATTCTCACTGTCGTAAATGAGCACTGAGGATTAGGAAGGAAGATCTGCAGAGTGCAATGTCAGTAAACTGGTGAGTTCAGAAAAAAAAATCACTTTTACTCCAGATTCCCAGACCATAAATCATCCCAATCCTTAGAGTGCCCCCTGAAAACAGATTACTGTGCTTTAAAGGTAATTATCCAGGTTTGACTGTATATGTTGTATATTTTCTGAGCTCCCAGAGCTTTGTTTAAAAGTGATCTTTGTTTAAAAGTGCTTCTAAGTCCATCGGTACCAGCGTGCTCTCCATAATTAATGCTTCTCTGGTTTCTGGTCAGGTCCCTGCTTACTTTAAGAACGCTGTAATCCACCCGCTTCTTAAAAAACTGAGTCTTGACCCCTCTCTCCATAGCAGCTTCAGACCCATCCCTAAACTTCTGTTCATCTCCAAGATCTTGGAAAAGGCTGTGGCTAAACAACTCACAGCTGCTCTTGATGAACAGAACATCTATGATAGCTTCCAGTCAGGTTTTCGTAGAGCTCATTCTACTGAAACAGCTCTTCTTAGGGTCTCTAATGACCTTCTGACTCACAGTGATGCAGGGGACTGTTCTGTTCTGGTCCTGCTGGACCTGACTGCAGCCTTTGACACTGTTAACCATCACCTGCTACTGGAGAGGCTGAGAGACTGGGTAGGCCTATCAGGAACTGCTCTGGAGTGGTTCTCCTCTTATCTCTCTCAGCGCTCCTTTTCTGTGGCCGTCTCCAAGTTTAGGTTCTCCACCACCTCTCTTACCCATGGTGTCCCACAAGGTTCTGTGCTGGGGCCTCTGCTCTTCCTCCTCTATCTGCTTCCTCTTCAGCACATCCTGAGCTCCTTCAAAGGAATCTCCTACCATCTTTATGCAGATGACGTCCAACTGTACATCTCCTTTAAGCTCCATGAGATGTCTAAGCTGCAGCTGTTACACACTTGCTTAGACTCTGTCAAAACCTGGATGGCTGGGAGCTTTCAACAGCTGAATGACGATAAGACTGAGATCCTCATCTGTGCCCCAGACAAGCTGGTTCCCAAAGTCAGAGACTCTCTTGGTCAGCTTGCTTCTCACACCAAACCTTCCATCAGGAATCTTGGCGTGACCTTTGACCCTGCTCTCACCCTGGATTCTCATGTCAGTTCTCTTGTTCGCTCTTCCTTCTTCCATCTCAGGAACATTGCTAAGCTGAGTCCCATTCTGTCTCGCTCTGAACTTGAGAGTTATCCACACCTTCATCTCCTCACACTTAGACTACTGTAACTCTCTTTTCACGTGTCTGAGCAGAACCTCCCTGAACCGTCTACAGGTGGTTCAGAATGCCTGTGCTCGGCTTCTGACCAAGTCCTCCAAACACACCCACATCACCCCGCTTCTCCTCTAGCTTCACTGGCTGCCAGTCAACTTCAGGGTTCATTTCAAGATCCTGGTTCTGGTCTATAGGGCCTTACATGGACAAGCACCATCTTACATTAGTGATCTTCTTAGTCCCTACACCCCCAGCAGGTCCCTGAGGTCCAGTGATCAAAGCCTACTGGTTGTGCAGTGCACCAGGCTAAAGACCCAAGGTGATGGATCATTTGCTGCTGTGGCCCCCAGACTCTGGAACTCTCTCCCCCTGAGCCTGAGATCAGTGGACTCTTTTAAAAAGCAGCTGAAGACTCACTTGTTCAAGCTGGCTTTTGTATGACCTTCTTCACCACTCTCTCTTTATTCTGCTCTCCCCACCTATTCCACCTTCCTCAGGATCCACTGAT